AGCAAAGTGAGATAAACATGATTTTTTTTTAAAACCTGCCTTGAAAAATTAGCATTGAGAAAAATTAAACAGACAAACCTACCATGGGGTAAATAGGTAAAATTTGCATCAGAGACTCAGAACACAGACACAGACAGTCATAATGTCCCTCCCACACTAAAGTTTTGAATTGCTGTTCATATTAATCATCACAAAGCCCCAAAAAGTATCCTGTGAGCTGAATTAGATTCAGTGCTATACATAATCCACTATGAACTACACCTTTTTAATTTGCCCCTGGATACTTTAGAGACCAAAGATGCCCTCCCACATATCATCCAGAAACTCCTTTCAAATGGACTCATAGTAATTACTCAGGAATCTTGTTTGTATTATAAAAATGAAGTGACTCATGACTCTCAAATGTCGAATAATTATTTCCATCTCATTTTGTAGGTATTTAATCCTTTTCTTTTCCTCAAACATCATCGTAAAATATTATTCACATTATTCAAACCTCCATTATTAGCACTCCCATTTTCAACTATGAATGTAGCTTTTTTAATACTCATGAACTTATTTACATTATTTTGGCTCCTGTCGTCTCCCTGTTTAATTTTTAAAGCAAAGTCTTCTGAAAGCTGCTAAGAGTTTTTCTACCTGTAGTCATTTGAACGCAAGTTCCTATATAAATAAAACCTCTCTGTGAGACTTAAGTGTTATATCACATATTAAAGGTAGACTACCACACGGCATGTTTCCTGGACTTTTGTACTGTAAGACCCTGTAAGAAGAGTTTTTGGATCACAAACACATCTGAAAATGCTCTGAATGCTTCAAACCACCTTAAGAAAAAAAAAAAAAAAAAAACAGTGTGATGGTCCTGAGTATTTTGGGGCTAAAAACACAAATCTGAGGATGGCAACACTGACAAAAGCCCCCTGAATGTTAAAAGATTACCCTTTATTGCATTAAAAGAATTCTTAATTTAAAAAAGTAAGAATAAAGATAACTCCATCCACTCTATGTGATTCACAGACTATTATTCCAAAAGTTACAGGCATGACAGCTAAAGTACATACATGCATGTACATATAAGTAAAGAGATTTGTCTAAAAGTAAACAGAAAAAAAATATATTGAATTAAGCCTTTGATCAAACATTTACATTGGCTTCACTTCCTATTCAGATTCTGTAAAGTTTTAGCTCGTGAGCTTTCTGACCTTTTCAAAGTTTACATGGCAAAATCCTTTCAAGCATTAAAAACAGTAGTGGAATCACTGGACCTTTAGGTTCAATTAACTTTGCATTTCAGAGGAATCCTACATGAAAAACATCTCATCGAGGAAGAGTGGGACACAGGCATCTTATGAACTGCAGGGACTAAAAGGAATATTATCCAGCAGTTTAATTTACTTGCAATATTGTAGCAACCTCTGGTATAATTAGCACCCCTGGAAATTTCCAAACAGGTGTTGAATAAACTGATATGCAACACAAAATTATGTAAACCACAATTCTTGGTACCTGTGCTGTTTGATACTTTGGGTAACTCACAGCTCATAATTCATTGCTTCTTCTGGGATACACAATGATGACAAAATTCCACCATCAATCCGATTTTATTTCAAACTTCCATTGTTGTATTGTGTGACTATTTTTGAATGAGGAGATTAATTTCTTACCATAAGGAATAAGGCTGTAGCAGTTCTAAATGAGGAACAAGTGCAACCTGTGAATGCGCTCTGGATGACCGGCAAACTAAGGCCTAAATATAAAAAATTGTATGAATTCAAATTTAATTGAAACTGTTTTAATTAAAATCACTCTCTTTGGCATGAAGAAAATAATTCTAAATGTGTTTTCTTCTCAGTCGAACAAAAATACTGAAATGAAAAGTTGGACAATTCAAAAGATTTTATGATTTACAGATCATTACTACAAGAACTGCGTTTTTTTGTCATACTAACCAATAAAAACATGTAAACAGCATTTTGCCCACAACAGAGATTACAAAGACAATGGCAAAAGGAAAGGGGTTTTTCAAAGTAAAAGTTAAAAGAAAAAACAATGAAGTGTTCTTATGTTGCATCTGTCTAATTGAGTGATGTTGACTTCTTAGTCCATTAAAAAAGCAGCTCTATAATAACCTTTGCCTCATTCCCCTGCAAAAAAAGCATAATGTTTCAGCGCACTTTCTCATATGCTAATGTATAGGTACTGAGAAAGTGCCCTGAAATATTATAAACCTTCCATAATATAATATCATCCATCGCATTGTGCAGCAGAACACAGAACAGTGTGTTACTGCTCCACCTAATTGACTGATATTTTGAAGATTTTTTTGTATTACTGTATTGCAGTTTTTCTCTTTTCTGCCTTTTTTTTTTTTTTTTTTTTTTTTTTTTTTTTTTGGAGTCTTGTCCAGAATAAACCTTTGTTTGCTGGAATTGGCTCCAAAACCCTAAGATGATTAACAGGGTATGGATACATTTAGAAATAGGTAAGACTAAAGCTTTCCAAAAGAAATATCCCACAGAAAATTCAGCACTTAAGGTCATGCACCATTTCATATTGTCTGCAAACTCAAGGGACCATGCTGTTTTAGCTTTATGAGATCTTTCATCTGCCTTTGATACAGTCAACCACAGTAATGTGAGTAGTGGGTTTAATGCTTCAGTAGTGTTATCTAGTACAGTTTTGAAATGCTTGACTTCTTTTCTCTTTAAAGTAAGTTTTAATGTTACACGTCAGAAAGGCTTCCCTTTCAACAGACACGCAGAGTCCCCAAGCCTAAGTCACAATAATATTTTTTTTATTTTAAATAATTGTAGTAAAAAAAATATTTTTTTTCTTTAGGATTTGTGCTTTATTTCTGTTTTTTGGTCAAATTCCAGGTTTAAGATCATGATAAATTGTTTTAGTGTAGTCAGAGGATGCTCTCCTTTAAGCTGTTCAGGTGCTCAACTAGCAGCATCATACAACCACATTTGGGTGATTGTTGGTATCTTTAATTTCTTTGCTAGATTTACTTTACATGTATTGGAAGACACAGTTTGATCCTAAATGAAACAATTGAGGGTTGAGTTGGTTTAAATGTTGTTCCAGGTTCCTTTAAATAGAATAAGGATAGATCAGAATAATTGATTCCCCTATGATCCACTGAATTCCCCTTTGAAACCATTTCAAGACTAATAGGTGATAATTACATATTACCAGTTCTTAATTTAAATCAAATGCTTCATGTTTTCAGACAGGCTCTGTTTAACTCGTTTTTCCTAATGTGGTTTATGATCATTAGGAAACTGGCATATGTGGGATTAACGTGTTTGATATTAAAATGTGTCTAATCACTTAAAATGTAAAGTTAAAGTATGTAAATACCTTTGGCGACACTGTATATGGACCTTTCTGTATTATTACAGTCTTAAAGAAGGTCATCAAGTCAAAAATGCATTGCTGTCCCTTTAAACTATATCATATCTTTTCTATTTAGATTCATTTAAATAGTCAAAGATGGGCTTCTAACTGAACATATTTAAAATCTGTCCCTTTGGATGCAATATTTAAGTTTTATATATATATATATATAATGTTTCTAAAATGGCATACTCACTTATGTACTTGCCAACCTTTACTGAAATACCTTCTACATAAGCAAAACACATGTTCAGCTCAGTTCAAACATGTTTTAACCCAAATGCTTCAGCAGTGCCTCAAGCTTTAGCCAAGTTTAGCCTTTATGTGACATTTGACAGAAACTCTGTCGTGCAAAATGTACTTTACACTCAGTCACCTCCCTGTTTTAGGGTAGGCACAAACATTTGGTCACAATCCTGGAGTTATATGATTAATATGATCAACATTCACAGTTCTTCAAATAGCAAATGGTACAGTAATTCTAACTTCAATGTTTACAAAGCAAATCCTGCAAAAATTCTTGAATGATCTGATAGCCCGAAAAAAGATCTTGTCTGAACTGAGACAATTATAATGGATAATTGTGTGATGTTGAGAAAGCTGCTTAAAATTCAGGTGCTTTCAGCCACCGCAGCATGTGGCCTTCATACAAGCATGATGCCTAAAATGAAGTGATTTGCAGCTGCTAAATTTGTGCTATTTAAAAAAGGGTGAAAAAAAATATTTTCACGAAGGTAAAAATGCTTGGTTTTTCAAGAGATAAAAGAGAAGCAATCAGGATGAGTCCAGGAGGAATATGTGCATTATGCATATTAAAAGCACAACTGATTAAGTGGTAATAAACATTCTGCTCTGTTAGAGGCGACGATTCGCTCCTAGGCAGGAAAACGCCAGTGTTTTAAATCATTACTATAAGAAGAATCTCCTCCATGGGTGCTCTCAGTTTAGAGAGACAAACAAAACAGCCTGGTGTAAAGACTGTCTACAGTTAAGAACCTACTTTTCTTTTTTTTTCTGCTTCTTTCTACTGATGATTAGCATTTCAAACAGTCCTTGTTTTGCGTCAGGACTTCATGCTTGTGTGCATGCCATCAAATCCTTGCAGGTGGTGGCTTGTGACCACTGGAGTAAAAAACTGCCTTTGTATGCATGTGCTTGAGTATGTGAATGTGTGAGAGTGATTCTTTGAGGTAAGGACTAGTCTAAAGGGACCTGACCTCGTTAGGAAGCTAAGAGTAAGGGACAGCACTGACTACAATTGCTACACCATGTAATCATAAATTTCTTAGTATTTGCGGTCTGCTGCTTTAAGCAGCAGCGACTCATGAGGCACATACTGGGTTCACTTTCTGCCACCTGAAAAATCCACAGAATCTCTTTTTAAGGGTCTGCCAGCAGCTCGGTCCAAACCTTGATTGAGCGCATCACAGTGTGCCCTGCATTTTAAGCACAGAAACAAAGACTTTAGCAGAAGCTGTTTGGATTGGAAAAAAAAAAAAAACTTCATCATTTAATCTTTACTTGAATTTAATAGAGTGTTCTCTATGGAGGATTAGCACAAAATAAAACTGTTCAAAGAACATGAAAATTAAATAGTGAGTTTCTGCAGTTTTTATGCCAAGCCAAGAGGTATTTAATTTAATAGCCGTTATTTTTTTTCCTCTGCTTTGTCTGAAGTTGACTCCAGCATGTCAGGTGAGAATTTAATTCTTTTCCAGAAGCTTCTGTCTTGCTACCGTGCCACCTAAAAACAAATATAAAAGAAAAATGTTAGTGCTTCTCTACTTTTTGTTCAGGAGAAAATAGATTTGTATTTTTTGACACAGAGGAAAGCTCAATGTGTTGAAATGTGTTGGTTATTTTAGTGTGATATTCACAGGTTTCTATGTCCAGTTTCAAGCAATCATCAAAGCATAGCTTAGACTCAAGTTTCTATAAACTATGGAAGCTGAAGTCTACCAAGAGATAATGTGTTATAGGTGGTAAACTTATCCATATGCTAGTAAGTGTTATGATCCTGCCCTTTGTGGACAAATAATTGTACATTGTAAGTGTACATTTTACATTTACATTCTGTTTTCCTGATAACTGTTTCTCTTTCATTTTGTGTCATTGAAGTTGTTTTCTAGTTATTTTAAGCAGTATTGTGATTCTTGAGTTACTCTCTGTTTCCCCCTTGTGCCTGTCTCTGCCACCCCCCAAGTTCCCTTCTATCCACACCTGCCCCACATCAGCTCATTAGCCCTTAATTTGTTCTGTTCCTCATATATACACCAATCTTTCTCATTGCAGGTTTCCTGTTGCTCCACAGTTTGCTCCCTGTGTGTTCTTTATTCCTGGTGTCCCCTGGTTTTTTGGTTTCTTATTTTGTTCCTGGATTTTTGCCTTTGTTGCCTCTGGAACCTCAAATATATCAGCTAAACTTATCTCTGCCTCATCATCTCTGTATTTGGGTCATCTAAAACCTTAACATAACCTTGACAGTAAGTGCACGACTCCATGTAATAAAACAGAAACTATCAAAAATGGATAACTCTTTATAAAGAAGGAATGAAAAAAAACTTACAATGGTGATCCTTGTAAGACTATTGGACAGAGAAGCTTTTCTACAGATTTTGACTGAAATCACTATTGTGACAATACTCATGTTTTATACTTCATTTTATTGTTTTGGCTAAAGCTTAATAGATCACATGCATACAATGTAAAGAAAAATAAAATTTAAGTTCTACTCTATTAGTGATTCACTTCAAATATCACAAACACAACTTATGAGGGAATCTGGAAAGTGAAATGAAATATTTTAAGAAGTATTAAAATGTTTTTAGTGACATTTGTCTACTAAAATCATTCCTATTCAGACATTCAAAATAAATCTATTTCTATCTTTGTACCAAATCTTTCCCTGTCCAGATAATAAAACTGGGTTTAAACTTGAGGTCTGGCTTGAAAAGCTAAACTATCTCTGGCTAAGAAGTTTATTTTTTTCACATGCAGAGCAATGCACTCTTCAAAGCTGCTTCATTCAGTATTCTTAGCAATAAATCTGTAAATGTATTTTGCAAATGTTAGGAAACACATTCCCTCTTAAGTTCACATGGTTCAGTTTATAAATATAATAATAATTAACTGGTTAATAAGATCTTAAATTATGTCCTTTATTGTAAAGCAGTTCATAACACACTTTTAAAAGGATTTAGATGTTAAGATGCTGATATTTCGACAACAGCTTGCAGGGACTGCTGGACAAATACTTTGAACTGGTAGATAAAGTGTCACACTGGATCATGAGTGTTTACTGACATTGAGAATATAAAAAAGAGCTAGGGAATTTTTCATTGGGGGCTTAATTAGATTGTTGGAAAATTTCAAAGCAGAACTTTTTGTCTTATTTTTCTCTATACACCAGCCCAAAATATTATGATTTTCCATTTATAGTAGCCAGAGACTCAACACAGAGGCAGGTTCATGAACTAACTTTAAACATCTCATAGATAAATGTTAAAAGAATCCTCTGGTGCAAATAGTTTTATGAAAAAAAAAAAAAGGCAGTTCTTCTATAACTCCTTCTGTCTTAAAATAAACAGAAAGTCTCCTAACTACATCTGATTTGTTTTTTTTTTAAAACTGCTCTCAAACATTTTAGATTCTCAGCTGTGTCTGGTTTCCACAACCCTCAGAAAATTTCTTTGGTTTTGCTCAACAAAAAACTATTAATAAAACATTGCCAGTGGCTAGAAGTGGACTAAACAAGAGACAGTGGAACAAACCAGGAAGAAATCTATTTTGGAGAAAATCTATCCAAAGCATTCCAATGAATCAAACTAAGTTTTTCAAGAAAAATGGAATCGATTGTGGTCATAAGAAAATTCCCTGTTCACATGGTTTCCTCTTTGCCTTTACTTTTCAAAGGTTTTCCGTGTATATTTTATATTTACAAGTTTTTACCTGATCTCAATTTACTGAAGTTTGGTGAGTAAAGTATAAAGTCTCCATTACAAAACGAGCTTTGGCAAAATGAAAAAAAGAAAGAAGTCAGGCTGGCTCAGTATTATCATCAATCAACCCCTATGAAAAAGAGGCGAGATATTTGCTTGGCCTGTTATCAAGCGATTAAATTGCTTTTATAGGGTGTTATCACCCTTACAGATCTGAGTTGGAGGTGCTCCTTCCCCATCTTATTCCTCTGTGGCTTGCAGGCCAGGTTTCCATTATTTTTGATCAGTGATAAACACAAAACAAGCCAGATTACACAGGGAACATCCCACAGAAGCTTAAAAATACTGCAAGAAAGGTTACTGCGGGTGTTGCTAACTAAAAAGCAACCCCATTGCAAAATACTTGAGTTTGACTATCAAAGCTGACCTCAGCCACCATCATTATCTCCACCTTTAATTGCAACTAGTTTCACTGCATGATTTCAGATATTTGCCATAACTTTGTCCTGAATATGATCCTTTTTATTTGTAGTGCAGAAGAAGTCATTGCAAAGTATGAATTCAAGCCAAATTAAATGTTTTATCCTTAAAGTAATGTTAAAAATTGTTGGCCCACAGCAGTATGAACTCTATACCAAAGTCTTTTTCATTTTTTGCTTAATCACACCTTTATTCTAACCTTTCACTTATTGCCTCCTTATAGGCACTCCTTTGCAATGAAGACCTCTGTAACTTTGGTCAAAATTCCCCTAATACTTCACTAGAAAAAGAAACTAAATAAACATAACCAAACAAATATGTTATCATACAGCTTTTCCTTAAAAGGAAATTGATAACACAGAAGCAGCTTTAGGGTGCATTCTCTATATATCTTTTTTCTCTTCTTTTTTTTCTCTTCTTTTTAATTCTATGTATAAGCCCTGCTCTTAAGTCACATCCTCTATTCCCTGGTTTGGTTCCACTTCGGGGTGATCCTCTCCAGAAATCAGACTGATTGGCTATTGGTTTGGTGTGAAACCATTTTCTCTAAAGTAACGGTGATTTTTTTTATTTTTATTTTTTTCCTGTCATCAGAGTAAGGCAGAAGGAAATGTTTTATGGCACAAAGTTCTCCTTGATTTATTTTCTTTGGGTTTTTTTTTATACGGTGTAGGATTTGTGTTTAATGTATTTTTCCTTTTTTTTTTTCCTTTTGACTTATGATTTCTGAATATTTTTGGATGAATTGTTCTAAGCCAAAGGTTATCCTACTTCCTTCAGTAAAAGACAACTGAATCCTGTTCTGCTTTTCCTTTGTTAAAGATTACAGTGTTGTGGCTGTACTGAGTTCATTGATCTTTTTCGGCATGCTTCCGTTGCCTACCTGCCCCACTTTCACTGTAAAATGATTCCCCCCTGCCATGAATAATGTATAAAAAACAGTTCAACAAAAAGCCAACTTCACAGACAGCGCATTTCTAAAAGCGGTGGGGTTTTCCTTTGGCCGTCAGATTTAATTACATGGGTTTTAGTGTGCTGAATTAGTTCACAGCTTATTTCCTGTTTGTCCTCTTGGCCCCATCATTCACCAGCTTATAGAATTAGGTTTTCTGAGCGCACTAAATCTGGCAAGAGAAAGAGGTTAGATACAGCCAATGGAGCCGTTCTTGCACTTTATTGTGGAATCCATCAAAATGAAGTTTTAAGACATATAAAATAAGTCAACAAAAAGAGGTATTTTTCTATAAAATACTGAAATGTAATGATATTCCCTGTTTTGTATTGTGTACGGCTGTTTTTCCATTTCTTTCCATTTCGCTAATGAGATCTGTTCTATAGTGTGCCCACATACCGACCCCTAATGTAAATGACTGTCATCTGTGACACAGTTATCTGCCTCATTGCTCTGTTTATCCTTCCAACAGTAACCTCATAAGCACACTGTATGCCCACTCAGCTGTTCCATAATTAATACTCTGGATGCTGGCTCTCCCAGTTTTATCCATTTTCATTCTTGTAAATGCAATGCAACATCAGAATTGATCATGTATGCAGACAATAGTTTGGCTAACTCCAATGTGACGTTGGTATGAATAAATGGGTTTGCCTTTTTGATCTCTCCCTCTATCTCCTTCTTCTGTCACTTTTTTTCTTTTCCGTTTGCATGGATATCTGGCTCACTTCATGCATATCAGTCCTCCACCCGCTATCCCATCTGTAAAAAGCTTGGCAGCATTCAAGGTTTCCTCCTGTTAAAAGGCAGATTTTTTTTGTGTGTGTGTGTGTCTTTCCCTTGATTTCTTTTCCTCAGTGCACGCTCCAGGGAGCTTGGGCAGAGACTTCTGTGTTGCGTCTTGAGACAATCTGGATGGCTATCGTATCGTTGCAATAAAAATAAACTTGAATTGAATGGCTATTTTGGATTGGCAACCTATTCAAGGTGTGCTTCAGCTCTTGCCCACTGTCAGCCACGATATGCCCCAGCACCTCCACAACCTTCTGAGGAATCTAGCGGGTAACACTAACAGCTGGATGGATGGATGAATCGAACTGTGACTCAGACTAATGCTGGGCCCCTCCTCACCTTTGTGGTCTTCACTTTGTTCCCTGAGATGCATGACCAACCAGTGAGGTCAGGGAGAACTCGACACTCCTCCCCCTGCAGACAGGGCTCCATTTTACACCACCATTTCTGACGCACAATGGAAGCTAAAGGGAAAAAAGAGCAGAAGGTCACTTTTCCAATTCAAGCTTCCAAAAAAAATAAAAGATGAGTTGTTTGAAAAAATAAAAAATATCCCAATCAGATGTCATGCTTCTTTGGGCTTTAAAAGCCTTGGAATCAGCCACCTTTGGTGAATGTGACCTAACTTTGACAGATGGTACTTTCATGTCATAACAAAATATTTATTCTTTAAGAGACGAGGTGTTTTCTGTAACTTTACCTTCAACACAAGAGGGCAGTGCCCTTGTTGTCCCAGCTACCTGTCCTGGGAAGCAAGAACACTTGACTGTTTGAGAGCGCTCTTCAATCTTGTTTTTATTGCAGCAGCGATGAGCAGTAACCACTTCACAAATCCCTGTTCTCTCCTGTGATGATCCTGAGAAGAAATGCACAATGGAAAAGAATTAGCACAGGATCAAACATTCACTATTGCAACAGTGGCACCACTAAAGGGAAAATGGTAAAAAAAAAAAAAAAAAAACTCCTGTAGTAATTGTTTAAAGCTTTTGTTTTTTGTGTGCCCATCCAACAGTCAAAAAAAAAAAAAAAAAAAACTCCTGTAGTAATTGTTTAAAGCTTTTGTTTTTTGTGTGCCCATCCAACAGTCATCAGAGATCCCATCTAGCCTGTCACTTGAAAAACTTCCTTTTGTCTCAGTAGATATGAACACTGTCCTATCTTTAATCAGTGATGAATTCTAAAAATGATAAACAAATAACATTATTTTCATTAGCCAGTAAGAAAACAATGTATCAATTACTTAGAGCTCTTGTTATACCGCACCACTACTGACCTCAGACTTTAAAAAAAAAAAAAAAAGCTTAAAACCCACTTTTTTAAATTAGCATTTAATTCTGACTAGGATAATACTGTCTCTTAGATGTCCTCTTTCTGTGTGCTCCTTTCTATGCACCTCTGGAAGGCTTTTAATGTCCTGAAGCGCTGCACCACTACAGCACTTTTAATTGTATCTCTATGTTTTATGTATGTGTACAATACATTACACATATGTATGTGTTATGTATTGTTTTATGGCTTTGTTGTAAAGCACTTTGGGTACCATTTGGCTATTGTAAAGGGCTATACAAATAAATTTGATTTGATTTTATTTGATTTGTTATTGTTAGAGCTTAAGCACCACCTAGTGGAATAAAATGTAACACTTCAGCTCTTATTTTGACTACATGCTGCAGGTGATCACCAGAAATCAGAGGACAACAGAGATTTTACTCAGGTAAGGACACCACTACTTCAGCATGCTTTAACTTAAGTAGAAGTTAAAACTTTACCAAATTATAGTTAAAAAGTATTTCGTAAAAAGGGCACCTAAGTAACATATACCAGTTGGGTCAAAAAAATGTCTTTCGATTCACAGACATTAAATAACAGGCAAATGTTGTCATTTTGGATATTACAATAAAGATCAGTCAATCTAAACATTTAAAATATATATATATATTTCAGAACGTAAATCCTAATTTTATGGTGAACTTTGATTAATTAGAAAATGCAGTTTAAGTACAGGTTAAATTGTCTTAAAAAATGTACTCTTTGAAAAGAATAGCCTTTGAGCAGGTAACAAACGTACTTCTTTATAAAACCCACATATCTGTCATAAAACAAGTTTTTAATGGGTCTGATATATCAGTCTATTCTAAAATTGTAACTGAGTGAATAGGATACATGAAGAATACATACACATATATATATATTTGTATACCTATATGTGTGTGTGTGTGTGCTTCAAGGAAATCACTGTTCACAGAAATAACTTGAATCTGACAAAAGCAATAAAAAAATAAAAATGGACAACTGAAAGTCAGCCATTGCTTTTCAACAGATACATTTTTTTAAATAAAATAGAGGAAACCTGCAGGGACTAAAAAAAAAATGAGTAAACATTTTCATGATATTTTAAACACATTGAGATTCAACTGACAGTATTAGCAGTAATCTCATTATCTGTATGTATTTGACATGTTGTAACTTTTGGCCTCATAAAAGATGTTTTACAGGTCTGAAGATGTTTTTGCTTCAATTGAGCTCTGCTTCAAGTCAGCAGGCCTTTGACCAGGAGAACTAATGAGCCCCACTGGGTGTATGAGTGGTCTGAGAGGGGCTGATGCTTACTTCTCGGTCCTCGAGAGCTTTGGTTGCCACTGGACACTTGCTGGATGCTTAGGTTTACTACACCGAGCAAAAGGAACCACGAGAGTAATTGTTTCAATTTGATCGTCTTCATATTACCTACACAGAAGACAAATAAATATTTATTCACAATTGTTAAATTAAACAAGCAGATCTGAACTATATGCATAAAGCTGTATTTCCCCTGGAAATGATATGCCTCCAATACCATACCGCCTAGATGTGAGAGCATTAGATTGTACAACAACAACACAAAAAAAACAATTAGAGAGTAGATTTGAAGATGACAAGACCCAGACCTAAAGTCATTTCTGAGTCATACTTTCCTTTCAGCTGTGTAGATCTTTGCAGTCGTAGCTGTTTTATATAAAATGATATTCCAGATGAGTCACAAAAAAATGGAGCATGATGTGAAAAAAATCAGAGAGTGTAGGTTTCCTTGAGGCAGTTTTATTTATTACTTATTACCTGTAACCCTAATTTCTCTTACAATTATCAAGTAATGCTGTAATCCCTTAAAACTCACAAGTTAAATAAACATTGTGTTTATGGACATTATCAGTGGCATACAGTTTGTAGAAACAGGAATATTTCTATGTTTTTTCCTTTTGGCAAACAAACATAGATTAGTGCAACTGTGTTACTGAGGTTTAAAAACTCCATATATAATCTCCTGTATATCTATATTTTAACAGTGCCGATACTCATTGCTTTTTACTTACTTGAGCCTTGTCTCTTATTTATATGCATGGTAAGGCTTTTCAGGAGTTCCCATCAGTCTGCCTATGTAAAAATCAAGAGCACGGTTCAGGAGAAAAACAAGGTTGCATTAATACTTATCTCCATTTATGTGGTATTATCCCTTAAAGTTGAAGAATATCAAATAGTATGATGTAAATAAATAATCAAAGGTGCTCCAGCCTTTTCCGAAACAAAGAGCAGCTGACAGAATCAAAAAGTCAGCTCAGGAGAGAAAAAAAATAGCACTCTCACAGATCCGCTCTGGTCCCAGGAGTCACCCTGGAGGTAGCATTTAGACGGGAAGCAATGAAAGAAAGACGCTTGTTTATGACAGAAGCAGAAAAGTCTGTCAGTTCCATCCAAGGGGAAAATTAAAACTTAATCAAGATAGAAACCATCTGTCTTCTGGACAATAAGCAACCACTTTCATTAGTGCCTTAAGAAGCTTATAGGAAGTGTTGACATGCACACTAGCCATGCAGACTAACCCCTTTTTATTTAACTCAACATCCGTCTCATTTTTGTTATTTATTATTTGAAATTAATTCAAATTTTAATTAGTTAAAAAAATGTATAAGCATAAACTATAATATAAAGTTATACTATTAAGTCAAGAAATAAAAAAGGATCATGCTTATTCCTCAGTGAAAGACCACTGGAAATAAAGATTGACTAGAAATGTGCAGACAGCGTTTTTTTTTTTTTTCCTGATTTACACAAAAATACATTTCCTTTGTATATTTAATTATGCTTTGCATGAACTGCTTTTTTACAAATCCACTTAAATTTGTGGACAGGTTGACAGATGTTGAGGATTAATGTTTTAAAGCTGTTTGTGCTGGTGGCCTTTTAAAAAAAACTCCAAACACATATTTGACCCAAAAAATGACTGTTTATTTCTTTCTATGCTTCCTTTCATTCAATGTACACGTCATGAAACAAATGAGGCAGAGAAGAATGGATAACTAGCTATTTGCTCAGCTGGAATGATATGAGTGAATATAATATATAAAGTAAAATTCAAATAAGAGATCTGACTTACATTCTGTTGTCTGAAGCATACAATATAAAAATGACTTAGACAAAATTTATTGTCATTTTATACACAGGCTGCATACAAAAGGAAATTTCGTTTAGTGCAGCTCTCAAGACATTTCCATTCCTTAAAGTGCAGCAGTGATAAAATGTAAACACAAGACCGAGATATGATTTATAGTTTATCCTAAACTTCACTCAAATTCTCAGTTCCCAAAACTGAAGATTTGTGAGAAATAATGTATTTTCATCTAGATTCAGAGAAAGGTGCATAAACAATAGGGAATCACCTCTTTATTTAAGGGAACGCCAAATTAACTTTCTCTGGGTACGAATCAGAGCTGCAAGTTATCTGGAAATCGAGGTTTTAAAGAGTCCAGAGGAAGAGTGGAAAGCTAATCGAATCCAAGTCCAAAGCACAGGGACTGGACTTGATGCTCAAAATATCATTGTACCAAGTTTGACTTTTTGAATTTTAATATTCTTATTTACACTAATTAAATGGGTGACATCTGTTATCTCACTGAACATTTCTAGAAAGAAAATCTATCCTATAATTTCAGCCATTTTATTCTGTGGTAGTGAAAAAAAAATTACCTCAATAAATATTTTAATATTATTTTACAATAATTGTGAAAATCAGTGCTACACCACACAGTTACTCCAGAATTAATGCATTTTGATGCATTTTAGTTCATTTCAGTTAGTATTTATTATCTTCCTATTCATAAAAAGCTACGCATGAGTGGAAATCACATTTTTGTGAACTTTGAATTGAACTGAAGCTGATCAGTTTTAGTGCATTCTGGCAACCTATACTGTTGATATGGGCCTATGCATCTGCCCTTGCTTTAAATACCATTATTCTATATTTGGCCTAAGATGTGCTTTAGACATAACAGTACTAACTGAAGGCTAAAGCCCCACATTTTAAAAATATATATAGATTAAACTTCATAACATATGAGTGGCAGAAATGCAGATAGAAGCTCCAGTTGCCGTCTGTCAGACTTTAAGAGGCATAAATGACAGCAGATGTCTTGAATTTACATGAATTAAGATTGTCAGTTATTGTGCATTGAAAGAGTGAAAATATGCAAAAGCATAATGAGGTATTTTAACATAAAAAGGGACACTTTTGAATAAATAAAACTGTATGAATTATAGGTGAAAAAAACAACCAAAAAAATAAAAACACTAAAGCAATTTCTCATGATAAAACTTTATTAGGATGGAGGTTACGTACATGATTATTCGAATGACAGACAATAGATACAATTCGACTCTAAACATGACAAATAGAAGTAAACAGTTTTACAAAAACATCTGATTTAATGTTCAAACAACAAAATAAATGTTTCAAATTGAAAACCTACTCGCCTTAATTACATCCTAATGTAAAATGTGCAACAGCCATGATTAAACATCCAGTTCACTTTCAGATGCATCATAGTACTTTAATCTGTTCTTTGCTTAAGCGGTGAAGTTGAGCTTGAACAGAACCGTTTGGGGGGTGGTGACATCAGCAACAGCTATTTCCTGACCGTCTGACAAGCCCAGTTCTGCATTGGAGCAAAATAAAAACAATCTGTAATTATAATTTAATTGCAAATTTAAAATAATAATAATAATAATAATAATAAACAAAGAAACATATATTTGTATACCTTTTAAAGTTTTGCAGAGGTTTGGTCTTGTTCGTTCTTCAATGGATTTTACAGACTGGAATAATAATATAATATCTGTTTTAATACAAACTAAAATTTTGTTGCTGCCGTTTACATTTTAGACAGTTACCTGCAGATACAAGGTCTTGTTCTTTCCTTCGAGTGTTGTTGTGATGGCAGGTGATTTCATTTGTCTAAAAGGAAAAAAAAAAAAAAATCCAAACGTTAAAAGTGATCGGAATTTTTCTTTAAATCAGCAATTAGTTCAGTTTTTAGAACTCACAAGGAGGCCGTCTCCGTCAGGTACTCTAAAACCTCCTGTAATTTGGCAGAGGGAGGGAACTGGAGGTCCTGAGGTACCTGACTGCATGCTGTACAATTTTCCTGTCAAAGAAAGATGTTTTAAAATAATGACCATTATTCTCTGCATGGAAACTGTGAGCACGCTACAGTTAGTAAAAAAAAGAAAAACACAAACCTTTCTTTCAGCTTCAAAGGTGTAGGTGTATAGTCCATCCACGTCATTAAAGACCAGGTAGTTATTCAAGGGAATATATGCACTGAAAGGACAGATCTGACAATAATTCATACCCGCAATGGGAGAAAAACCTTGAAAGAAAGACGTTTCTATTACAAACCTTGTAGCGATTTTAAAGACCTCTGTTGCACAGGCAGCTGTAAAGAGCAAAACCAAGATTATTGAAAGAAAAGGTGAATATAATTGATTTTCCTTCCCCTGATAACAAAGATTAAAGCATTAGGCAGAAAGTTTTAACAGGGCATTTAATGAAAGCCTTAAAGACATTATGCCCCACTTCATTGTAAAGTACAAACAGTATAAACTCACAAATAACTTTTTTTTTTTTTTTTTTTTTTTAGAAAAATAGTAAAGTGGATATTAATGCCAAGATGATAGCTGATGATGAACTCATCATCAGCTAAGGTTAACATCTTTTTAAAGGCAGCAGATTTGAGGATTTTTTAGCGCTGAAACAATTAATTGAGGAATCTTGATTAATCAATTATTGAAATAATCGTCAACTAATTTAGTAATCCATTAATCGTTAACTAGACTATAGAGACTCTAAAACATCTTTAGCTGGCAGAGACCCACTTAGAACGGTTCAAGTCAAAATCATAAAAATATACAAAAATATTTTGCATTTAATATTTAAAAAAAATATATATATATATATATATATATATATATATATATATATATATATATATATATATATATATATATATATATATTTTGTCTGTCAATATGCTCTATCCAGAACTAAAGTGAAAACATTTGTTTCACCTGGTTTAATTTTATTTAAAAAAAAAAAAATTCTAAGGAACCTTTGGTGATCTGATTATTAATCGAAAAAATAATCGATAGATTAATTGATTTGCAAAATAATTGCTAGTTGCAGCCCAAGTATTTTGCTTATCTGTAGCATCACACAGTGAAAGAAAACTGCAGCTACAGCATCAACTGCTGCCAGAACTTTGAGCCCATTTCCAGCTGTCAGTTACACAGCATTTAGTTTGGAACCACAACTCGTCACTTTTACAATAATTATAAGAACATATATAAAGTGTAATTTGTTGTTTTAGGCTGCTATCAAACTGTTTTTTCAGGAAAAACCATGATAATTATTTCTGCTCCTATTAAAAAGAGGAACCAAAGTATCGGTGGCTTTTTTCAAGCTGATAACTAACAATCTTTATACAGACTGGGAGTTTTGAGGATTTCCTGGTCTCTCAGTATACATTTCCGAGAAAAAACAGCAACACTGATCTACTCCTTCATAAGATTTTAAAATTATCCTTGCATGTAGTTTGTTTTAAGACCTTTAAGCCTATTGACCCATGCAAAGCAATTTACACCCAAACAGAGATGCACCAAGATTTTTTCTGCTTGATCAGTCGATGAAATGATCTTCCTTCCTGCTCTTGGTGAAGGCGGACGCTTTTTTTCAATTTCAATTTAAAAATGCACTTTAAATTGAAGGCTATTCAAAATGTCCTGTAAACTATGCAAATGTAAAAATTAAGAGAAAATTTGAACTGTCTTAATAGCCCATAATGACAAACATAATAATTTAAGATACGGACATCTCTGACTGTCTAAACCCAGCCAAAACACCAAACCTCAGAGAAATGAAACTGATAACACTCAATGATTGTGCCCAAATAAAAAACGAATCCTTTTCTCCTTTACTATTCCAACAGAGACCAGTTTGCAGATGAATTAAAATGCATTTGTTTGTAGTCTGAAGACAATATGTTACTGAGAAAGTTATAACTTAAAGAAAAAAACAAAAAAAATGTAAGACAAAGCTGTTAAATTCAAAATGTCACTGCAAACACAAAGTTAGACCAATATGCATGGTAATTATTTCCTAAAAGGCTGGATCCATTATCAATAATGTCCTAAACACTGTTGCACATAGTAGCTTTAAAAACTGAAGTTTCATACCAGCGATTACAGCGTTAGTTGATGCCACAGCAGGAATAATCCTCTTCACAACTCCTGCAACACAAGAACCCCCTGTGAGTTTAATTCCATCAGCTCCGTCAAAAATAAGAAGAGGTGATACGGCAAATTAGCACTGTAGGATTTAAGGTGTTATAATTGCCATCTTCACCTTGCGTGAGTCTGTAGGTAACTCCTGTGATGCTAAACTCTGCTGCCCTTTCCTGGGATCTTTCAAACACCCACTGGATGTGTTCTGGATTGTCTCCGTCTAAACTCGTGTCTAGTTTAGAACAAAGCCAAGGGTGGAAACGTTTATACCAACTCAGTCATTTTCATAGCATCATGAAATCTTTGAAATTGTAGAAGTATGTCAGCAAACCTCCAAAAGGTCCATCTTTGGGCCACTGTAAGATTCTGACGTATTCAATGCAGTGTTCAGGTAGCCTCGGCATGGATGCAATCGTACACATGGGGAAATTTATCTACGCATGAAAAAGTGAACACAATTCATTGCAGGAAGTTGAGGGTCATGTTTTTTTTTTGTTTCGTTTTGCAAGATAATGTTTTTTTTCCAGAATTTTCCTCTTCTGATTTGTTTCTTTGAACTTTTATTTGGACGAAAACCTACAGCAGGCCCGCCTCACTTTACACTAGATATTTCTCCTCAGTCTGAAAGTAATGACACATTTATATTTAAACTTTAAAGTTCACAATCTTTGAATTTTGATTGAAACGAAAGCAGAACCTGGGCTGTCCAGATTCCTCTTAATTAGTAAAAACCGAACCGTAACTAAATTCTGCCAGCAGTTTTCTCCTCACTAATTGCAGCTGGTAAATAAATCTGTTCACTGCAGTGGAAAATCTTACAAACCCCTTTATACTATATTTACTTTTTCATTTCACTAAAGAGCAGAAAGATTTTTTACCAAAATTAGTTTTACTAACATTTTTTTTTATTATCAAGCTAAGGCCCTCCCCCAAAGACAGGAAGACAAATTATAAAAACAAACAACTAAAAAGTAGAACAATGATTTAAACAGAGGCAATAAACAGATACTAGATGTACTACATATATTAATTGCTAATATCATTAAAATATTAAGCGTGGGTAATATTACTTTATTCTACATTTCCACGTGTCAGGAGTTCTCACTTTTCTATGACATATTTGTCCAGTTGGATGGATTATCCATGCTCAATGTATTGCACAATCAATGTATGTATTATTGCTTAAAAAATGCATCCAAAAATAGGTGTTACTAGTAATGCATAGTTCCTATTTTCAGCAATAGCATCAACTGTTGTTTTTTTTCATGAAATTGTGACTCTGGAAGTTATTTTGCCTCTAATTACATACAGGAAAGTAAAGACATGCCTGCTGGTGGTTATGGTTGTAAAGCTGAATGTGTCACATAATCATAAAGCCTCAATAATCAACAACATTCTAATGATAATAATGATCTAATACTAATCTAAAGTGCTAAATGGTTGAAAATGGAGACAGCGTCGCATTAATAACTTTTCTGCACTTTTCGCAGGTCTGTGTGAACCAACCCCCTGTGCTGCTCCTTCATTCCTAAAAATCCTAGAAAAATCCCTGTATACTGCATGAGCTTATTTAAGTATGTTAATTTTATAAAATATTTAAAAAAATTCCTACTAAAAAAAAATCCTAAAATCTTGGTTTTTAGAATGGCCTTCATTTTTCAGTGTGGGATTATGTTGATGAACTTATTTTAAAGCTTTTTAGACACCTTTACTTATCAGGCCAATCATTTTTGGGAATGGGCTTATTCTCAAAGCAGATCAACAGGCTTTTCAAAGAAGATGTATAAAGTGAAGCTAGAAGGGGAACACTGAGTGGTTTACCTGTGGTGGGTAAAGCTCCAGAGTGCAATCAATACAGGCCGTCATGCCAGGCAGGATGACGCGGGCATTTCCTTTAAAGCCCTCTGTCCCCCCATCAATGAGGGGGATGATGGAGCTAGGATCCAGGACTCCTTCATCATAGCTCAAGAGCGATATCTAAAGATCCACAAGTAATCACCAAACATGGTTAGCTAAATCTCTTCACAAAGAACAGCAGCTAATGTAAAAAAAAAAAAAAAAGAGAGAGACGTATTTTATTCTCTCTTCCACTTATATCCCACCAGCATTCCATTTATCCAGCGTCTTGCAATAATGGAGTCAAGTCCACAGACAATGATGTGAAACTCTGCAAAGACAAACAGCTCAAAATGAAGCCACTTACTTATGAAAATGATCTGCTAAGATTATGAGACATAAATTCACTTACGCCTGTAGAAGGAATCATTAAAGTCTTGAATCTTTTTAAAGTGACTGCGTGCCATCGCTAAGGAAAAACAGTAACATACAAGCAAGGAGCACATAATTAAATAAACATTAAGTGGTTTTTATCTTTAGGGATGACGGGTGAAGGATACGGGACGACTTTACACCCTGCGATACGACTGTTGATGAAATCAGCAGCCACATGTGCCTTTGGTCTTCCAACGTCTTTGGGCCTTCACATAACAGAACATTAACATCTTATTAATGCAACATGGGGCAAACTGGATAAACCATTTTGTTCAGAAAGCAACCTAGTAAGGGAGGGAGCAAATATTTTTTACATATTATGTGTTCTTTTTAAAATACTGATCCAGACCTAATAGATATCTAAATCAAATGTCTTGAAAATGGTTAGGAAAGCTTTACGTTTCCACTAAAATGCATGCATTTAATTGGAAAACCTAAAAGAAATACAAATGTTTTGCAGTACAGTTCTTTTTATTTTATTCTGTTCTGCTGTTAAGGTTAAGAATGACTTTTAACTGCTTTTTATTTTAATATAGAGGTAAAACCAACCTGAAAAGAAATTGCCTGTTGAGATTTGACACATCAATGGTATCCATGTCTACCACATGAATAAGGCGAAACCCTGACAGAGCCTATAAAGAAAAGCCCTTTTATATAACAATATATCTGAAAAGGTCCAGACACAACATGTCATTATTGGAAAGATAAAAGCTATTTACTTACCAGATTTTTAAGAAGTTCACATCCAAGTCCTCCTGCACCAATGACTAGAATCTTACAAGTCTCCAATAAAAACTGCAGAGACTGATTTGAAACAAAGTTGTACATAAAGCTTGGTATGTCTGAACATTTGTGAGCATTTCCACACATTTTAACTATGATTACCTCGGTGCTAGGCTCAAAGTCAGGATGGGTGAAGGGACCCGGCCTCTCCAAAAACTTCTTCACATGATTCCAGCGACCCTCCCAGTCGCAGCCGCTATCTCTGTGTCCACTGTCAACAGCCATTCTGGATGCAAAACACAGCAAAAACAATAATTTCTTACTCCTTAAAGGAGGGTAACTAACTTTAGAGATCAGTGAGCTGTTACCAATCAAATCTCCATTACATACATACATGCATAAACTTGCACCTAAAGGGTAAGTGGATCAGTCCGTGCAGTTTTTAGACGCCAAATCTATATGGAAAAAAACCCATGCATGCATGCAGATGACAAGCAAACCAAACACAGGAAGGCTTCGGCCAGAATTTGAATTAATCTACAAAATACTTGCTGTAATTTTTTGGAAAAATTCTCCAATTTACAGCCAAAGGTTTAAAAGACTTAGAGAAATCTTGATTGGTTTCAATTTACATCTACTCTAGTTAGAGGACTGATCAGACAAAATACTAATCATTAAGCTGATTAAAGTAAATGGAAAACAATTATTTACATGATTTTGATTGACTAATAGTTAAAAAAAAATTGATCAGAAAAGGATGGCTGATACTGTTTTGTCATTTAGATGTAAATGAAGGAGCAGAATCAGTGCATTAAAGAGGATCAGGATCTAAAACCCTTCTGCTGAATCATCAAGGCTGAAATCAGCACTTTGCATCAAACTGGCCACAAAGAAAATGATGTTTCTACAATAAGAACGGCAAGAAAATCCACCTAATAAATGACTAGGGAAATTCAGTGGAAGGGGTTAAATTGAAGGAACATCATTTAGATGTTGAACTTCAGTAAACCACCTGCATCCTTTAATAACAAAAAATAGAAATCTAGTAATCAAGCAGTATAAACATGGGAGAAAAGGACCTAGTTAATAATTAGCATTTAATCTCAGTAGGCTAATGGTGCTGTTTTGAAAACATCCTCATAGCATGCTTGCAGCTAAGAAGCACTTGCAGATCTGCCAAGCAGTTATTAGCTCTACTAGCTAATAACGTTAGCGAAGCTGCAGCTCTTAGCCAACATGTTTTATGTTTCCATGTCTGCTGGCCTAGCAGTCGCTGCTCACAGTGCAACGCAAACCTGCCGCCAGTCAGAGACCTTTATTTAGCATTCGTCACTAACTTCTCAGTCAGGTCCTCAAATCGCCTTCTTTTCTTCTCCCTGGAAATGAGACGGTAAAAAGGGGTATTTACGCGAATGTGTCTGTTTTATGTCGATGATAAATTCATATTTATTGCTCATTGAGACTTACGGCTCCTCGGCATCCGCCATACTTTCAAGGTCCCATGTCCTCGATTCAGGCTGCGCGGTGTTCAGGGGCGTCAAAGCTGCGCAGCGCGCTGCAGTTCACACTTTATGACACTAGAGGGTACTGTTGCTTCCTGCGCTTTACTGTTGTTATATATTGAGAAAATGAACTGAAATATATTGATGGTCTGTGGCAATTATACTAAGCTTACAATGGGTAGAGGAGGTTAGACAGACAGGGTGGTGGTATGTACAGATTCCAAAGCAGTTTTAGAAAGTATTCAGGGAGACGGAAATGATAGAAAATATTTAGTATTAGAAATCAAGCACAGTCTATTTAGATTATATAGGGGTGGTATTGATATTTGGTTATGTTGGGTTCCAGACCATGAAGGTGCAAAAGGCAGTGAAAAAGCAGATATATTAGCAAAAAGGGCTTCAGAGGGAACAATAACAATTACAATTCCTTTTGGGAAAAGGGAAGGTAAATAATTTGGCAAAAGAGATTAAATGAAGATAAGAAAGGAAGAGGATTATGTAAGGTACAAAAATCAGTATTAAATAGAATCATTAATGAGAGAAACTGAAGGGAAGAAGTAATAATCATCAGATTAAGAGTGGGTCATACCTATTTAAATGACATTTTATATTTAATAGGTAGGAAAAATAATAATAAATGTGAAGGATGTCGAGAAAAAGAAAATGTAAGACGTACTGATTAACTGTAAAACTTATGAACATGAAAGGGAGAAATTGACAAGGTTGGAAGGACAGGCCAAGAATGGAGTCTTAAAGAAATATTGGGAAATTAAGGAAATATATAGGATATTCACAGATTAAGGAAAGCATTATTTATTCATCTACAAAATACAAAATTAAAAAATAGAATTTGATGTAAAGTAATGTTGCTACACACTCATATACAGTAGGTGGCGGTATGCACCTTAAAGTTGCTTGCGATCCGCCATGATAGAAAAGAAGAAGAAGAAGAATATTGACGGAAGTTGGAAAATATTCGACTGGAGCTTCCGTACTTTGGGGTCTAATCCAGAAAATATAACGCTGTTGCTTTTCATTTGCCTTTAAAATACACATGGCACCAGGATGCTGTAAATCATTATTTTTCCAGATCAAATCTTACTGAGCTGCATAATATACATGAAACAACAATTAGATTTATATGGTGACATGTTTTCATGCGCTTTTGCATGTAAAGAACGGTAAAATTGATACATTTTTGTGACACGTTTATTTATATGGAGCAAATGGGACCGGAGTAAAAGTAAAATTCCGTTATCATAACGTTATTTCCTTTCTTTGTAAGAAAAAAATAATATGTTGGTTTTTGTTTCTCGTTCATTCTTAAATGTAATTTGTCGAGTTCTTATTTCTACAATGTCAGCAAACCTTTTGTTGTCCAATTTTCTTGTCGTTTTTATTTCCTTTCCATTCAGTTTTAACCCATGCTATGCGTTGTACAGCACGGGTTCATTTTGAAACCACACTCCAGTCTGGTAGGTGGCGGTAAATGCACCTTTAGTTGGTTGCCATCCGCCAATAAAAGAAAAAATATATATATAAGAAGAAGAAGGTTCATATTTTTTTTTGACTGATCTCGCGAGAGTTGCTTCTAGTATCCTCTGTATAGAGAGCAGAGAACAGCTGACCCGTCCAAAACATTACGCACGCTTTCTGTTTGTATTGTATTGTTTTGATTTTTTATTTTTTTTTTATAACACGCTGAGCTGAAGTCATGGCAGCCAAAATGGAGCTCGCTCCTCTCAGACCGTGGGGTGACTTCTTTCCCGGAGCGGACAGGTTCTCCAAACCAGAGTTTGGAGATTTAACCAAGTGGAACGATAGAATGATCAGCAATTTGATGTATTACCAGACTAATTATTTCATCGTAGTCTTGATTGTCTTTCTCTTTGTGGGGTAAGTCTTAGCTGCAGACAGTAGCTAATAGCATGCTACTAGCATCCGTCAGTTTTTCCACACGCCCATCCCGGATATGCAGCTTTTTTTTTCTTCTTTTTTTTGCATTACAGTAAAATATTTAGACAGTTTTTAACTAAATATAAATGTGTTAATATTCTTACTGTCGACTTTGCTTTGAAATATTAAATATTGATGCAGAGCTTTCAGTTTTACAGTTGCCATACATTCATGTTTCATACAGCGGTTTTTTTGTTTTGTTTTCCAGGTTCCTGAATCCCTTTGGCATGTTTCTGGGTGGTACTGTAGTTTCGTTGGTCTTCGCTGGTTCCGTTTGGGCCGGGGAGAACAAGGCCATAATCAAGAACTTCAAGAGGAAGAACCCCACTCTGTTTGTGATCGGGGTCATGGCCACCAGCTACTTTCTGCTCTCACTGTGTGGAGGTGTCATGGTCTTCATCTTTGGAATCACTTTTCCTTTACTGCGTAAGTCTCACTATGTGGGAGTGTGATCTATTGTCACAATCTACAATTCCTCTAAGGATTTAAATCTGCCAGAGTTTGTTTAAAGAGATAGATATTGTTATTATTTATATAGTAGATATGAAATGTAGTCGAATTAAACTGAGGTAACTGTCACATTTTTTTTTTTACAGAAGGTATTCTAAAAGTTAGCTGAAATATTTTGATCAAATAGTTTTGCACATTTGCAAAACGAGCAGCAATAGTTATATAGATTAATACCCATCTATGTAAATACCCTATGCACACACACACACACACACACACATATATATATATATATATATTCAAAAGCTTCTTACTGCACAGAATGTTCTGCTTTTGCTGTTCTGCTATTTATGGAGTATTGTTAGCACAATAATCTAATATGAGACAGAGCAGCTGCTCGGAAAGAGCCTGCCATCAGCCGCTGAAAAGATATGCCACTTTTAGCTTGCCAAGTGTTGTTTAATAACATCATTAACTTACTGTTTGGAGGGGCTCATTTTAGTTTCCACATGAACACTTTTTGAGTTTAATGAAAAAGGAAATAATCTAAGAACAGAACTGGAACCCTCCCACACACACACACACTATCTACTATCTTTGCCAGATAAAAGGATGTGACAGAAATAAAAGCTTCAAAAGATGTGCTTAAGACTCCTGAACTTTCTCTCCATCCTGAGGCATAAACTGGACATCAGCCAAAGGATTTTAGCAGACTTTATCATCAGTAAACACAGCAACTCTATAACTCTGGCAAACAGACAAAGCTGTTTGATTACATCCCAGGAGATCTGCCCGCTAGCTGTGTTGACAGGTTGCTAGGGCTTGTTGATTTGGACAGAACCGCATTGGCTGCCTGATGTCATGCAATCAGTATCTGTCAAGGAAATAAAAACCTATACCTATATACTTCCCCACTGATGTGAATATTCCAAACAGTAGTTTTGTTTTCAATGCAGATAATTTAGATATCGGACTAAAATGCATTCATTCTTATCTTTTTTTTGTTTGTTTGTTTGTTTTAGTTATCTTGATCCATGCATCTCTGAGACTGCGCAACATTAAAAACAGGCTAGAGAACAAAATTGAAGGCGTTGGGCTGAAGAAGACCCCGATGGGCATGCTGATGGATCTTCTTGACCAGCAGGAGGACAAGATTAACAAGATTCAAGATTTCTTTGAAAGTAAAGTGAAGGAGTAATCTTTAAGCAAGTTGAATGCCAAAGAAAGCAGGTGTATAAAGAAGGGTTCAAATGGTTAGAGCATTATCCTGAGAGTCAATATTTTCAGTCCTTGCACATGTAAAATTACTAATATTTACATTTCCCACTTTTGTTCCATTTTAGTTTTAGATCGTATGATAGTTCTAATAACCCTTACAATATTAACTGTACAGTTAAAGATTGCTGTGTCAGCAGAAAGATGTGAGTCATATGACTTAAGTGTTTTTTTTTTTTTATTGCTATGTGCAAAAATCCAAAATCGCCTCCCAAATTATGCGTGAGAACTAGAAAAATTAAGAAAAGAAAATGACTCCTAAAAGCTTTATCCTTGTTTGTTACCTCAGATTTGCGATGTTTAATGTCACTTAATAGGCCCATATTAAACTATAACTGAAATTACAGAGGCCCTAGAAGGTGTGCACAATCCTATAAACAAGTCCATTATTAACCCAAGATTTTTTTTTCCAATCCTCATTTGATATACATCCAGGAAAGTTCAACCCGAAAGCACATTTTGGTAGGAAAATATAGCAAAATAGAATAAAAGCTGCAATGTTATCCTCACATAAATATGTGCACCCTTGTTTTGAAACTTTAAAGTGTTCCATCTTCTTGGAGACACGTCAAACATAAGTGATTAAAAATATCTAATTGACCTGCTGTTCTTTTTATTTTTCTTATTTTTTAAACCCAGAAAAGCTAATAATGAGTCAGAATAAGTCATTTAACAGAGGTATTCATGAGGAAAGGAACAAACACAAAAGGTCACATTGTAACATTTTCAGTCATAATTGAAAAAGTAATGTGAAAAGAGTGACACACATTAGAGAGTGGATATTAGTTCCAAAACTAACAAAGACAAAATGGGAAGTGGTCAGAAAGCTGCAGGAATATCTGTCAAGTACTGTTTGGGTTCTACAAGTCAGAACAACCTCCTCTATTCTCTATTTCTCTGGTCTACAGAGCATTTCTAATGTCTGGTATTTTCACAGAGTGTATTATATGATGAAACGGGATCCACAACTCATGGTCACACCATTTTTGGCCAAAGTGTTGAAATTATTTATCATGGAATAGATAAATAGTTGTTCTAAATCAGGAGCGTGTAGACATTGGAGAGCCACTGATTTAAAGCCACCTTAGTGGTTGTTGAATGGCAATCATGTTTGGAGGAGCTTTATAAATACTGATCTGAGACCAGTTTGTATCGTTGATAAATGCCCTTTTATTGCCTGACCAAATATAACAGAAATATTTCCTTTTTTTTCTCTGTTGTCAGTAAGATGCCAAACTGACCTCAGTATATATATATCCTCTAATCGCAGCTATGCAATACTGAAAAATGAATGGCAAAAGTATCTATTATATAACTATGAAGTCTGTATGTTGTATCTCAGTGTTTTTTTTTATATTAGCATAAAGAAAGCTTAAAATGGCAGCAACACCTGAATGAACACACCTTGTTCCCTTTTTTTACTGTCCGGTCCAATTAAGCCCGTCATCTGTGACACAAATTTATGATGTACTGCTTGTTTTGTTCTGTTGTTTTGCTTCTCAAAAATGCACTTTGAAGGCTATGCATGTTTTGTTTACAGAAGGCCTGAAGGAGAGATGCTACAAATGCAATTTTTATCTGTCTTTTTCATTATTTAAAATAATGTACACCAATTACTGGCACCAAAAATAAGTACTGTTTGTCTTGTGTAAATTGAATAATTTGCAGTCTTGGTGTGAATAAAGAGATATATAAACAGGTCTTGCTCTTGGTTTATACATCATATGTGCATATAAGACTAAGTATTTCAATATGTAAGTATCTGATTTACAGAAGCATTAAAAGATTTAACATTTATTTATGATAATCTAGATACTAAATTCAAGTCAATTTTTAGAGCTGGAATTTATCATTTATGTTAAGTTAAACCTACTTTCACTATCAGACTAAATTAGGGGAAAACTTGTAAAATAAGTAGATTTATCTTCCAAAGCAAGTAAATCTAATAAGAAAATAAAGATATGCCCAACTACATGTGTATTTTGCACGCACTCATACAATGCTGGTTTAATACGAGAAAATAAAATCCAGATGTTTCCTTTTCTTTCTTTTTTTACTAAGCAAATACATTTGATTTTTCACACTTTATGAAAGGCATTTTGCAGATCTTTTCACAATACAAGATTGACGTTTGTGTGCATAACAGACATAATCCTTAAAGTATACAAATTTTTTTTATTTTAGGATATTAAAATACTTTGAAAGAGTAAATATGTTCAATAAGGTATGTTTTGTGGCTGAACATTAAATACATTCCATTAAGAGTTTATAAGGCTAACATTTCAGTGAAAAAGTAGAGCTGAGAAACAAAAACTTTTTTTTTTTTCCTTGTGTGGCAATGATGCTTTTCACCCTTTTGGGCTGTGCAGGTAATTTACCAACATAAAGTATCAGTACAACAGACACACTCAACAGTGAGAACATAGCTGAGGTGGAGTCAGAGAAGACTTGTTTCACTTGATTCCAGGACTTTTGGGAGTGGCACCTGTGAGAAAAAAAGAACAAATAGTTCACTTTTCTATGAAGGAATAATCTGGATTTTTTTTATGATAGGTTTTGTAAAGATATAATCCCTCTCAGTTCGCTTTTTATTGCTATAGAAATAATCAAATCAGATTTAAAAAAATAAATCATCACTGTGGTGAAATCAAATAACACAGGATTGTGTTGCAAGAGAATCCTTTGAGAGAGGATATGGAAACACAGGAACATACCATCTTTGTTTAGTTTGAACAAAATGATGGTGCAACCCTAAATCAAAAAGTTTGAACCACTTCTTGTGGACTTGGAGCTGAGTTTATAAGTTTGTATTACTGAGGTGTTTTTATGGAAATATGATTTTTTTCCTATCTGGCCATTTGATGTTGTTTGATTAGGAATATTTCCTTAAAATTGCCATAGCTCTGGGGTTTTCCACACTCTTCTAAGCAGCTCACAATACTGTTCAATAGGTAAGGAAACTAACAATGTCCTTGAACCTCACTTAAAATTATATATATACCTGTTCTTAAATTGTATGGAAACTGGATGAAATTATGTAGTGTCTGAAGATGACCCTATTATTTTCAGTTGAAAAAAGAAACTAAAGTAATAAACTTAAATACCTGTTCTCTATTCACAACAATAACTAACATGTGCTTCTGATCAACTCTCTCTATAGCCATATAGATTGGGGTACTCACAGATTTGAGATATGCCACATTGCTCTTTTTAATCTCATTTAGGAGCTCATCACGAGGTGTGAGATCAACTTTTGGAGGTTCTCTTCTGCGAGGGACGGGTTTCAAAGTCTTTATCACATCTTTTAGGTTGGCCTTTTCTTCCACTGTCTCTCTAGCTCCTCTGTCTTTTACTCTGGGAGTCTTTCTCAGTTGGAAACTTGGGTTCTCTGCTCTCCTGTCCTCCTTTGGGTCCAGGTCCAGGAAAGGATCCCGTTTCTTGGGAGTTCTCTTCAACTGAATGTCTTTTAATGGGTTTGCTGGTTCTGCACAAGGCTGTTTGGGAAAGCTGTTGCGTTTTGGATTCTTTTGTTGCTCTGGCTGCTTGTTCTGATGTGTCGTTTGAGCTACGGTGTTCTCTTCTGGTATGGTAGGGACGAGTCCATGCTCCTGTAGGAGCTCAAGTGGCGGTATGTATCCCAACATCTCAAGCAAACCAGGAGGCAGATTGAGACTGTTCTCATACATTTGCATCATTTCTTTCTGCTCTTTGAGCTGCTGCTGCCTCTGTTCCTCCTTCCTCAGCTGCCTCTGACGGTCAAGGTTCCGCGTTAAGAGGTTGGTCACCACCATCCTGGGCCCAGGGAGCTCAAAGTGGTAGCCTATCTTCAGGAGGGTGTTGTTTGCCTTGAGCAGACGAGAGATCTCCATCTCTGCATGGTGACCTAACATGTGTCTCTGATTGTGAAAGCGCAGCTCTGTCAGGGTCTCATTGAACTGGAGGCAGCGGATAATGGCGACAATGCCCTTTCCAGTTATGAAGTTGGACTCAATATTCAAAGTTGTGATGCTGCGGTTTTCTCTAAGCATGTTAGCCAGGCTGAATGCAATGTTTTCATCAGCACCTGTGTTGGCTATGCTGAAGGTTTTTACATGTTTATTCTTTTTCAGGGCATTCACGTAGTCCAAAAGCATCTCCTTGGGAATGTTTTCAATGTTGTTCAGGTTGACCTCAGTGACAGAAGGATTGTTATTACGGATTTTGTCAAGAGTTGACTCCAAGTTTGTCTCGTTTCCTGATGGCCGTGATGTCATTTTGATATTATCAAAAGCCAACTTTGGGATTTTTAACTTGTTCACTTTTATTGGCTCTCTTTTTGGAAAGTCATCATTGATTTCATTTGTATCTTGAGTCTCATGCGGGACAGAGCACTCTTTATTTACTTTCTCCTCTTTAGCTTCATTGTTAACCGAGGCTACCTTTGTGTCTGGAACAGACTGGCTGTCCACTTTGTTATTTTCAGCTGATTTTTCTAAGTTATTGGGAGGCTCTTCATCTTGATCTGCTTTTTCAGGTTTGAGTTTAAAATCTACTTTCTCACTACTTTCATTGTTAAGGTCATTCACATTGTTCTTTTCCATCTCCCCTTCATCTTCTTCATATATTTCTTCAATTATCTCCTCAATGATTTCCACTCCATCTGGATAGTCAGCCCCATCTTCCTCAATAATTTCTTCAACCACTTCATAGACATATTTGGTATCTGAGTTCTCTTCTTTTTCTTTTTTTGCAGCCTCCTCCTGAAGGATTTTCTAAAAGAAACAAACCAAGACATTAAGCTTTGCAAAGGTATTTTCCTTCACTGACTTACATTTTACAACCTTACGGCTAAAGTAACCTACAAGGGTTTGAGCTCTTACCTCACTGGGCAGCAGGGTAGCAGGGACCCTTTCTTCTTCAAGCATACGTTTTGATTCTTTCTCCCAGTAGAGATAATCAACCAGCGACCTGTGGTCGAACGATCCTGTTGGAGGTTTCTCTGTCTGGTCCTTCTGTCTCTGTCCCACTGGTACAGTGTCATCTGGAGCAATAATGATGTCCATCTCACTCTGGAGCTCCTTTAGCTCCTCAGGTGAAAGCATTGCCAGGATTGCATCTTCATCAATGTCCTCCTCATTGAGATCCTCACAGTCTCTGATTTCAGACATACCTGCAATGTATTGATTCTTTCTGTAGCTGATGTTGAGGTGAGTAGTTTCTATTCAGTCCGGAGTTGAGCACAGAGCAAAGCGAGAAGCCTCTGACTTCAGCCTGAGATACGTTGCCTCATGTCTTGTCTAAATTTAAATGCTGTGAACCGTGTGGAAGATATTTAAAGTTGAAGCAGAGGAGAGACATGCAAACATTCCACCCAGCTGGCTCAGTCATGAGGATCTTTTGGGATGACAGCTGCTTCAAGTAAAGGAAAGCGGGGAAATGACAGCAGCAGGTGGTCCATTAACACAAGCCCAGTTTGATGACACTGGGGGAGGACTCCACAGCAAACAGACTCTCCTGGAACGCATGTGAAGGCATAACCTTTGGGGTGCTATATGACAAATTGTAAACCAGAGAACATTGTTAGCCAAGAAACATTCCCTTTTTATTTTCCTTTTTTCCAAAGGTAGAGGTGAAATGTCAGATAAAGTTATGTTTTGTTTTAAAGGGTTAATGTCATGCAAGATCTAGATCGTTGGCCCTCTAATACATTTTGGTTTTTTATTGTGAGGCTCTTAGAGAGCAGAAAAGTTTATTTTATTTCCCTCCAGGTGCATTGTAGATATTCTTTTTATTTCACATTTTTTCAATCTGGTTAGTTTTTGTATTTCCTTTTATGCTTTTATAAACAGTTATCCTCACAGTATTTACTGTTTGCACAACTTCTAAATGACACCATAGAATTCCTGCTAACCAGTGTCACGGACGGATCCATCTTTTTATTTGTCAAAGCAAATTTGTTGCCAAAGCTCAGGTGGATAAGTAACAATGGTTGGTTGTTGGGTGTTTAAACCTACATAATTAATTTAATTAACTTCCATCTCTGCACTGCTATGAGCATATCTCAAACTACATAAATGGCCTTATTCGCCTGATCTGTAACCTGTTAGGGGGTTGAGTGTGAATTGCATTATTTGGAATTTCATAAGATGACACAACAAGTTGTTCAGACACACTTTAGAACAAGGGTAAAATGTTCCTCTGACATGGGAGTTGGCTCGCAGCTCGTTTGCCGGGCTGTGTGTTTCCTGGACGGGGCCGCAGTTTACAGTTGCTTTTTGTATCTCTGCTTCTGTCTCCTTGAACCCCAGGTTGCCTTGGCAGATGGACGCTCACACTGAGCCTGGTTCTGCTGGAGGTTTCTCCCTGTTAAAAGGGAG